ACAGCCCCAGCATCGTCCCACTGACCCCCAAGGCCTCTGGTAGTGACCCCCAGGGCCTTAGAGCTGCAGGGCTGCTCCAGCCCCCCTGGCTCAGTGCAAGAACCACCCAGGGTCAGGGTCTCTGGTTTATGGGTGGGGAAACTGAGGCACGCAGGAGTCTGGCTGCCCTCTCCTTCCCTACCTGGGGCGGCTCCCCTCCCCTCCCACAGGTGCAGTGTGGCACACTGGATGCACGAGGCTGGACACGACTGATGAGAAGCAACAGGAGGCTGGAGCATCTACAGGACCACGACAGCTGGAGAGCCCCCGGCTGCTACCGGACTGGGAAGGGGCCCCGTGGCCCATCTCGTGAGCCCAGCAGGGCTCCAGGGCTGGGATGCCCACCGCTGCCGGAGGGCACGGGAAGGCCGGCGGATGCCAGCGCTGGCCCACACAGCGCAGAGGATGACAGGCACCAAGGAGGAGCCGTGTAATCTGCACTGTGATGGATCGTGCTGCTCGTAGCGTGAGCTCTCCCACCCTGCCTGGTGCTTCGGGCCAGGCATCAGACCTGGGTGCACGCTCGGGGGTGGACGGACGGATACACACGCGCACAGGGGATCCAGCGAGGAGGCTAATGGGGCCCCGTGGAGTTGCTGGCACTCTGGTTCCCAACCTGGCCTTGCAGCATGCGTGGGCACGACCCCGGCAGGGACAGACGTTGCACAGAAACCAGTTTACGTGATCAGAAACCGATGTAAACAGGTAACAGAACAGAAGTTCAGTTCAAAATGTCTGGAACCGGTTGAAGATACGCCCGGTTGAACGCCGCATCAGACTTAACTGGTTTAGGTCAAGGCTTAGGAAACTTCTGTCCCAGACCAGAGAGCAAGCACGAGGCGTGCGGGCTGGGCACCTAACCCCCGTGTGCCTCCCAGAGCGGCCCATTTCAGATGCACGCACCGCGGGTGCCCCCGGAGATGCTGCACGCCGAGGGCTGTGCACAAGCACTCGTGCAAAGGCACCGCCTCCCTCCCACTGGGCGCAGACACCTCCGTTCCCGCGGTGCCAATGCCTCTGACTGCTGGGGGTGCTGGGCCAACCAGACCTCCCCAGAGGACCCCCGCCTCACCCTGGCACATGCCATGTGGGCTTGGGCTCCCCGTGGCCCTGGCCAGCGCGTGGGAGAAGCCCACCCTGGCACCAGCAGGAAAGTGCCGACCCCGGCAGGTTTTTGCTGTGTTGCCATAACAACGGCGAGGAGCCGTGAGCTGGAGCCCAGCTCCAGGAATACTTGCAAGGCGGGGGCGAGGTGCAGCGCCCGCTGCCAGGACATGGATCGCCAGGGCTGCAGGGTGTTTCTGCTGCGCTCAGCAAAGCTCCCTGCCCGCCTGCCCGCTCGCCAGCAGGGAGCGGCTGGCCC